TGAACACACAGTTCATAACGCAGTATTTTGCTCAGTCTGAACACACAATTCATAATGCAGTATTTTGCTCAATCTGAACACACAGTTCACAACGCAGTATTTTGCTCAATCTGAACACGTAGTTCATAACGCAGTATTTTGCTCAATTTGAACACCCAGTTCATAACGCTGTATTTTGCTCAATCTGAACACACAGTTCATAATGCAGTATTTTGTTCAATCTGAACACACAGTTCATAACGCAGTATTTTGCTCAATCTGAACACACAGTTCATAACGCAATATTTGGTTTAATTTGCACGCAGCTCATAACATAGCACACTGTTCAATCTGAACACACAGTTCATAACTGTAGACACCCCATTTTTGACCGTCCTCAAGACTTGGACGTCATCGTTTGAACACTCGATGATCATACATGCTCGTGTTCATTTTGAGTTCCCGAAGGTCTCGGCTGTACGCTTTGCCTTAGGATTTCTCAACTTGTCTATTTTGTGCTTGGTTGTGGACCAAGGACTTGTGGTTTTGCTTCTGAGGGAAGAGGGTGGCTTGTTGGCCATCCCCTCAACCCATCGGCTAAGGCATTGTGCCATCGGCCATGTTTTCTTGCCATTGGCCATAAGTGTTGGCCGATCGGCACTCTTTTTGGTCGATCGACACTCTTTTTGGTTGATTGGCCATATTTTTGAGCCGAGACCTTTCCATCTGCTTTTTGCAGATATTTTGTGCCAGCTGTAATAGCTGGTGGGCACAATTCTCATCCTCCATACACGTGTATGGAGGGATTGCATTCAAGACTCAAGCTTGTTCAACAAGCTTGAGAATTGAAATTTTATAAGAAGGGAGCCTCTCCTCCCTTTCCAGAGGTTCTGAAAATCTAAGATAGAAGTTCTATATCTCTCTCTCTATATATATATTTTACACCTCTCTCTTGATTTGCTCTTGTTTGTGCCCAAAAGTGTAAATCCTTCACACTATTGCACACAAACACCTACTAGAACACCATCCTTTGTTGCTAAGGTGCTGAGGAGTTGGTTTTAGAGTTTTTGGGTTGGTTTAAGCTCAGAAAAGCTGCTGGAGTTGTGTTCTTGAAGGTGTTTTTCAAGGGTGAGTCAACTACCTTTTGATCCCTTGTTTTGGCTTAAGCTTTTAGACCTATTTGCATATTGTTTTAAGCTTAACTCTAAACTACATAAAGTTTTGATTTTTCATGCTTGTGATGTTTGTTTAATGTCACTTTTTGGTTGGGGGTTGTCTACCCCGTCTTAGGCCTTATTTAGCCTTGTTTTGAGCCATCCCTTTTGGCTCTTTTTCTAGCCTTTGCATGACCTCTCTACCACTGAAATCCAAAGGATTTTCAGTGGTGGAAAGGTGGTTTTGGAGTCTTGAATAGGAGAGGGACACCCCCCTCTTCTTGTGTCTTGATTGCTAGTATAAATGGCTCACAATAGTAGCATGCTTGCTTAGCTTGTTTTGGCTCCATTTTAGCAAGTATTTGGTGTTAGTTTGCCATGATATACCTCTGTTTTAAGTTGGTTTGATAGCATCTTGCATGCTTCACATACTTGTAGAGCAATCTTGCATGTTAGCATAACATACATCATGTGTTTGGACCATCATTCTTGCATGTTTTGGCTCAACCCAAAGAAGCTTTTAGCCTTGTTTTACCATGCTTAAGCTTTGATTTGTGTTTTTTTAGTCATGCATGAACTGTTTTGTATAGCATTGGTTCAATCTAGCTTGTTAACTTTGAGTGTCCAAGTCATTAGCATGCATTGCTTAGACCATTTTTATGATTTGGCATCATTTCATCTGTGATTTCAGTCCATGTAGTGTAGCCATACACTTGCATTTTCCACCCCTTTGATGTTTTGAAGGTTTGTTGTTTTATGCCTTGAGAATGGATCATTGTGCATGCCTCCATGCTTAGGCTTTTGGGATGCCATCTCAATGGGTTTTTGGGCTTATTTTGACATGTCATAACTTTGTTTTTTATTAGTTAAGTCATGCCATGTTTGGGTTTGATAGGTGTAGTGTAACACCCCATTGTTAGCCTTGCATGCTTCATGCTTTTGGTCTTTTGTTCTAGCTTGTGTTGGCTAGGTTCAAGCATGTTTTTGCTCTTGTATTGACCTGCCTTGGGACTGCTTCGGTTTCCCTTGGCCCTTTGGGGCTTGTTTTGCACGGCCATGGTTTAAGTCCCTTTGCTAGTTTCAAGCTTTGAGCTTTCTTTCATGCTATCCTTGTGTTATGTGAGTGGTTTGGCACCATTCCATGCATGATTTCAGGGCCTATAGTATTGTCATGCATCCATGCTTTTCATTCATTGCTCATGCTTGAGAGTTGTTGTCTTCATACCTTGTTTGCGAACCAAAGTGTATGCGTGTTTGTATGTGCATTCCATGCCATTAATTCATCATTTTGGCCACTGTTTTTGGCATGGCTAAGGTCTGTCCATCTGCGGTTTAAGTCCATTATGTATGTATCTTGCATGTTGTTGCATGCTTGTTCCATTTTGTGGTTGTTGCATGCTTGTCGCATTGCATTTTGTCGCATGTTTGTCGCATTGCATGATTTTTACATGTTGTTGCATGCTTGGTGCATTGCATGTTTGCATGTTTAGGTTGCATTGCATTTTGCATGCTTGTTACATTACATTTGGCATGCTTATGTTGCATTGCATAGCATCTCCATGTTGCATGCATTGCATTGTGTTTGGTTTGGGGTGTTAAGCCAAACACGAGGAACGAGGGACGTTTCATACTTGAAGTGATGAAACGTGCCTCAATCCTCGGTCACCGACCCTCTTGATCAAATTTTTGTGCATTTCATTCACATTGAATTGTGCGACACGGTCTCTTTGGCCATCATGAATCGAAATGTGTGATTGATGGCTCGAGAGTCGAGCACTACACTCCTTTAAGTCTCAAATATGATAAGGGGTGTAGTTGCACAACATTTTCTTGCAAATGTATTGCCATGCCTCTGTTTGTACTCCGCTGCAGCAAAAGGAGCAGTCTATTGGAAGAAATAGCCGATCGGCTATCTGGAGTGCCGATCGGGTAACAATTTTTGGTCGATGGACTCAAAAGTGGTCGATGACCCTTTTCCATTGGCCGATGGCCTCTTAACATGTCCATGAGGTGGTTTAGAAGCATCACATAGATTTTCATAGTTTTCAGAAGTCAAAAACAGTGCAAACAGAGGCAACATGAGGCATGACAACGGATTTCCGAGAGGACCCGACCGAGCATGCATCATTCATCATTCCGAGGCAGAGCTGTGGCAGTTTGTTTTAGCCTCTTTCTTTTCTTACTTAGTTTGTTTTGTAACTTAATTAATTTTCTTAATTAGTTAAAGTTTTGTAATAATTAATTAGCTAGGGTAGTTAATTAATTAGCTCGTTTGTATTATTCATTCGGACCCTCCGTCAAGATGGCGAATTTTGTAATAAGTGTGCGTGAGTGTGTGAATGTCTTCCAACCCCACGTCTTTCTCCCTTTTACTTAACCGCTTATGATGGTTAGTTTTAGGTCATGTTTCAATTAGCATTCCTATGCTCGCATATTTGCATCCATTCATCTGTATTGCATGCATCGGGTTCGGCGCATCATACTAACTGCATTGTATTTTAATTCCTATTTGAATACATGATTATCAAGTTGCATTTCATATGCCAATAGCCGAGCCTATTTCTAGTTGCATTTTGCATGTGTTGCATTAGCCATCTTAACATAAACTAGGATCATGCATGATTACTAACTAGCTTGTTTTTTGGCTCGGAGTACTAGGTAAGCTTTTATGCTTTAGCATCTTGCATGTGTGTGAGTGATTGCCATGATAGCATACTTGCCATGAGGCTAACTGCTTAAATGATATAACTGCCTGAATGCCTGTAGGTGAAGGTTGGATTGCTTGAATTGGAACAATTCATTGCAATGCGAGTTTTAAGCCCACTTAAGAGTGGCAAAATCATGTTTTCTAAGCCCACTTGAGGGTGACAAATCCACATCTTAGCCTACTTGCAAGTAGCACCTTCAAACCATTTTCAAACAAACATGAGATATTTCGTTCCAACTTAGGCGATCTAGTCTATACTTGTATGCTGTGCGCATCATGTAGTAAGCTAGCTAATAAACCGGAATAAGAACATATATGTTTTCAAAACAAAATATCATACTTAGTACAGGCCGATCTTTGATCGGGCGAGCGGGGGTGCTCATTGCATGACCTTCCCCTCTCGTACCCAAGTTCTCGAGCCGAGGCAACTTTGGTGATGACGGACACGTGGCCTTAGGCATGAGTCAGGGTTTCCTAAATTCTCCCAAAATAAAATATTTAGGTCGCGACTCTATATCTGGCAAAGCAGTCCATGTTTGACACTTCTTTATTAAAATTAGTTTTCTAAAACGATTTGCCGGATTTGGACTCTTTGGTGATTTATCAGTCTTTCATTGCACTTTGCGAGATTAGATTCAGAATCGTGACATTTGAGTCCGAACTGTAGTATGCTAATGAACAAAACGGATTTTCGCACCACTTCGCAGCGCGGAGCTGGGACGTTTGGGCATCTCTACAATAACACAGTATTCGATTTGTTTTGCACGCAGCTCATAACATAGCACACTGTTCAATCTGAACACACAATTCATAACACAGTATTCAGTTTAATTTGCATGCAGCTCATAACATAGCACACTGTTCAATCTCAACACACAATTCATAACACAGTATTCGGTTTATTTTTCACGCAGCTCATAACATAGCACACTGTTCAATCTGAACACACAGTTCATAACACAATATTCGGTTTAATTTGCACGCAGCTCATAACATAGCACACTATTCAATCTGAACACACAGTTCATAACACAATATTCAGTTTATTTTGCATGTAGCTCATAACATAGCAACTGTTCAATTTGAACACACAGCTCATAACACGGTATTCTTTTTATTTTGCAACTGAAAATATCTGTTCATTCTGAACGTAGGTATCTTCCCGTTTTACCCGGGGGTACGAATCGATTATTGCGACGGAGTGGTACATAGAGCTCCCAGATGCCATTCGACATATTGTGGATGAGGCAGGGTTTGGCCCATTTTGTATGGGGTTGTTGCGTCATCCGGTGAGCAGGACCCTTCTGGGTGCACTTGTAGAGAGATAGTGGGACAACACTAACTCCTTTTATTTTTCTACCGCCGGGGACATGACGATGACCCCGTATGACTTCTCCATGCCGACGGGCCTTGACGTGGCAAGTCAGCCGATCCCATACGATTTCGATATGGGCGAGTGGGAGACAGCTTGGACTTACCTGCTTGGAGCTCATCCGCCGGCCTGCAGATCACCGGGCATGGTCAGGTATATCTGGTTTGCAGAGCAGTACAAGAGGACTACGCCCGAGACTTTTGAGGCCATACAGCAGTATGCCCGGGGATTTTTGATGTTCCTTCTCGGGACCACTCTGTTCTCCGACAGGGGGAACACAGTTGGGCTATATCTGCTGAGTGCTCTGGTAGACCTATCACAGGTCCAGCACTTCGATTGGGGCAGCGTTGGCCTCGCTACCCTTTACTGCTACATGAGCGCGACCTCCTGGGAGCGGGGGACCATAGTAGGCGGCTACTGGAGAGCCTGGGAGGTACATTCTGCCCTCTTGATTTGCATTTCTACTTTTCATTATCTGTACATTGCGTACTGCACACATTGCACACATTACATTTTGTACTCTGCATTCCGCGCTCAACATTCTGCATTCTCTGTACATTATGCATTCAGCATTCTGCATTTTCTATACATTCTGTACTCGTATTTTGCACTCAGCATTCTACATTTTCTATACATTCTGTACTCGCATTCTGCACTCAACATTCTGCATTTTCTATACATTTTGTATTCGCATTCTACACTCAACATTCTGCATTTTCTATACATTCTGTATTCGCATGCATTCAGCATTTTCTGTACATTCTGTATTCTCATTCTGTACTCAGCATTCTGTATTTTCTATACCTTATGTATTCTCATTCTGCACTCAGTATTCTGCATTTTCTTTACATTTCGTATTCTCATTACCACTATCTTGCCTTTCACAGCTGTGGGTTTATGCCTACTTCCCGATGCTCGTTCCCGAGCTAGAGGTCGAGGCACCGCTTGCGATACCATACTCGCGTAGATTCAAGGGTCGATGTCGGCCCAAGCCCCGGGAGACATTGCTATATCTCCGGCAGTACTTCGACACTGTACGGCGACGGAGGTAAACCAGAACTCTCAGTTCTTCAAGTTTTCAGCTTTGATTCATCTTGCATATTTATGACATCTAATCAGTTTATGCACTTGCTATTCGCAGATCACTTGGCAGCCTTGGCTGGCGATGCCCGGGTATTCTCGGTTCTAATTCGCCGGGGCATGGGGCGCCTCCCGATACAGGGTTTTGTTTGAGGGACCAGTCCTGGTTTCTCGGGGATTGTTTTATACGCCAGACGATGGGTAATCCTGCTCAGGAGATCCCCTCACCGCCTCCACTGGACATGCGGTCCACAGAGAGTCTCACTCCCCGGGAGGTTGATGACATTATGCTGGGTGTCGACGCAGTTCTTTTCCTGAAGGAGGGGGAGTACGCGACATACCGCCATACATACTTGATGCCTCCACTGATAGGTGTCCGTACTCTAACGAGGAGGGCTGCTGATATGTAGTCGTCGAGTCCCATTTGAGCTGCAAACATCCCTTCCACTAGCAGGGCTAGCACATCGAAGAGTAGGGCTAGAGGGATGCCCTTGACTTGCCAGTATGCTAGGTGGCCAGATCTTCCGACCGTGCTGACGGGCTGGCAGTATGGGACATCTTACCCGATTCCACTGGAGCCTCCATTGCCCGATCATCGATACGTCAGTGACCCTGACTCACCACCAATATGCTCTACAGTTTTCATTTATCACTCAGATATTTAGACATTCATTCATTCACTGATGACTTGAACTTGCATCTGTAGCCTCCCAGAGAGTATACTGTGGGGTTGCTCAGAGTGGTGGCCTCATTTGAGAGCATGGTCCTGCGGAGGGAGATGCTGCTGTACGCCTCCGGCATTTCGGTACTTTTCAATTTCCTTGTATTTATGATACTTCTGATGACATATGGAAACTGAACATTTCACTATATTGATTCACTGCATGTGAGAGCACATCTGACACATCACATTTACATACTATATCTGCATGCACACACTTTATATACCATTCTTGCATCTAATATCTGACAATACATACTCTAGCTGATGTATTCAAAACTTCCTTTTCAGGTCACACCACTGCAGGCCGGGCCATCCAGGCCTTCTCGAGCAGCTGGGAGAGGGGCCTCGACTCGCTGTTGGGGGAGACATAAAGCACCTGTCAAACATGACGAGGAGTCCAGCGAGGAGGAGGAGTCAGCTCATCCTCAGTTGGAGACATCCGCAGGCAGAGATAATGACTCTGGTTCCGATTCTGAGAGCGGAGGTGACGCCGAGGAGGATTCCGAGGATGGCGGCTCCGATTCAGACGGTGGTGCCGATGGTGCAGAGGCTGCTCAGCCGAAGAGGGCGAAAAGGGCCTCTCGGTCTTGAGCTTGATAGCACTGATGCAGATGTTCCTGCTTTATTTTTCTTTTTACATGTAGTTGTAGCACCTTGTACAACTTAGGCAGTTTTATTTTCTTCAAAACTTGTACCCTGTTGTAAAATGTTGTAAAAAGAAATCATGATGGAATAAAAATAGTTTTTTGTTCAAAAAGTGTTGTATTTGCATTCTAAGCATCGCATCACATCATTTCGCACAAAAATGAGATTGAATGGAAATGGAACATCATGTATTACCAAGTCAGGTAGTGAACCAACGCAACAAACAAAACAACTTAAAACAAAAACAATTTATTAAACAAATTAACAACTCGATAAACAATGAGCAACAACTCGATAAGTAGAGAGCAACAACTCGATAAACAAAGAGCAATAACTCGATAAACGAAAAGCAACAACTCGATAACCAAAGAGTAACAACTTGATAAACAAATGCATATTGGACAAACAAAGCGACAGAACGCATCCAAAACAGAGGTAAACTCAGACCTTTCGCATTCTCAACACATAAGAAGGCTAGGGACTCTTTTTTGGAGACAAGAAAAAGCTGCAAACCACCTTTTTGCGCATGGCCGACCACCATAGGAGCCTGCCGACCAGTTTTTTTGATCTGCAAACCAAAAAATGTAGCTGGCCGACCAGAAAAATTGGCTGGCCGACCAGAAAAAGTGGTCGGCTGACCACTTGGCCCGGGAACCTCCAGTTTTTTGACTTTTGTCCTCCAAACAGTGCCTTATCCTCCATAAAGGTTCCTAGTTCCCTCATTCTAACTCAGTTTTGCACCAAATGGAGGCATTTCTTGTCCAAAATCTCACAAATTGGATTGCTACCTTGGATGGCTCGGAAAAGGTGAATTCCCAGGCTTCGGCATAAATGCACTATTCACGTTGAGTCGCACCCCGCTGCGTCTTCCATTTTTTTATGCCGCGGCAAGGTTTTGGAATCCGATAACACACGTCTTTAGCTTTGGCGGACAAGAGATATGTCCCTTTTTCGAAGACTTCCAAGCTTTGATGGAGTCTGAACGCGAGGAAGAGATTTTGCCACAATTCTGCTTTGGCCACATCCAAGCCTTAGGACGGATGTGCGGGCTCACCATGTATAACGCTCGGTCTTTGATCCGTGATGAAGAATTGGACATCCCCAGCTTGGTTCATCGGTTTTCTGATGCTGGTGACCGCGGCGATCATCACTGGCAGGGTTTTCGGCGTCATGCGCTTTGCTTATGCATGCTGTTTCATTTCTTGCTTGGCTCAGGCTCCGGAGGGTCTAGTGTCCGTTTGATCGAGGTTGCCCAAGGCTTGAAGGAGGGAGCTGTATCACCATGACATTGGCTGAGAAATTGATGGGTTTGGATGCTTTCCATCGCCGGGAGACGACTAAATTCACAGGGAGTCCACTACTGTTGCAGGTAATGTTTCCCACCCTATCTCACATATATTTCTCACATCACTCGACCCTCAGGCTCAGTTTTTCTCTCAAAACCCTTTTTCTCACTTTTCTCTCCACGTACACCTCTCTATTCTTTAATATCTCATTTTTTATCCCTGCCCAGATATGGTTGATGGATAAATTGAAGGTTATGGACTCATGCCCAGCATATTCAGCTCGCGGCTATTTCTTTCGGCGACGTCTAGTCGATGCCCCTGATGAGGGATGGTGGTGCAAATGGATGTGCAGTCTATCCGCTACCAGTAGTGCTTGGCGCTGCCCTTGGCTCAATCTACCAGCGATGAGTTACAACATGTCTCGCCAGCTCGGGATTTAGTTGATTGGCCTGACACACTGTGTCTTTTACTTCCCGTTTCGATTTTGGCGCCAATTCGGACATGATCAGACTTGCCTGGCAGAGGGGATAGAGTGCCCTACTGCATATCCAGTCCGAGGTGTACAACTAGCTCGGTATGCCACAGCATGGAGGACTAGAGAGCTTCTGGTCCCCACTCCCACTTTCAGTTGCACCCTTTCTGATGAGTGCATAGCTCGGCTTGATGAAGAGGCACAGGTTGGGCCTACTTTGATATCAGAGGCTTCGACCAACTCTAGGAGAGGGCACAGGAACACCTGACTTATCCATGCCCCGAATTTATTGCTTTATCAGTACTTTAAAGTTTCCTTTCTGAATGTAATAAAAAGCAACTTCAATTTGTATTCAAGAGTAGGAGAACTCTATACTGAAATCAATGTAATTGAAGGTTATGGGTGCTGAAAATTTTCTGTTTGGTCCAAAAATGGTCTAAGTCATAAAAAGATTAATTTGAGCAAAATCAACTTTTATTAAAACTTTTCAAAACCATTTTCGATATGGATCAAAACTGGACACACCCGAGATCTATCACTGAGATGTACAACCCCGGATCCCATCAACTAGAAAGTTGTCCCTAGTTTGAATAGCACTGCACTGGAGATTACAACCGAGCTCTTGAATGCAGAATAGACAAAGATGACCAAAAAGATCACATGGACAAAGTTGATTTGGAAGTGTTTATGGCTGGACTTCAGAATGAAGTTGCCTACGTATCCCAAAGATGGGAGTCAAGCCTTATGTAGTTCGGCTCTGGTTCACTCATGCATTAACACTCTCCTTTTACGCTCTAACTTTTGCCAAGGCTGCCCTTTCTGGGTTTTCAACCTTGCGAGCTCAGTTTTTATAATTTCAAATTTTCCATGCTCTAACTTTTGCCTAGGTTGCCCTTTTGGGTTTTCGGCCTAGTGAGCCACTCAGGGAAAGTATTTCTCAACTTGTCCATGTTGATTGGCTGGGAGAACTCTAGGCCATCTAGGTCCATTAGAACGACAGCTCCACCCGACCAGATAGACTTGATAACGTAAGGGCCAGTCCAATTGGGTCTGAACTAGCCCCTAGGGTCGTGAATGGGAGGTCGGTTGTCTTTGAGCACTAGATCCCCTTCTTTCAAATTCCTGGACTTAACCTTCTTGTTGAAAGCCCTGGCAATTCTTTGTTGATAACCCTGAACGTGATACAGTGCTTTCAGCCTTCTTTCATCAAAGAGCATGAGTTCTTCGAACCTACTTTGCTGCCAATCTACCTCAGCTATCTAACACTCAGCCAATACCCATAATGACGGAACCTCAACTTCGATAGGTAAAACAGCCTCCATCCCATAAACCAAGGAATACGGAGTTGCCCCAATAGAAGTTTGAATTGAAGTTCGGTAGCCCCACAGAGCAAATGGCAGCTTATCTGGCCAGTCTCGGTAGGTTTCCACCATCTTTTGCAGAATGTACTTGATGTTCTTGTTGGCGGCCTCAACTGCTCCGTTGGTCTGCGGCCGATATGTAGACGACTTATGAAAAGCCACGTTGTACTTCTCTAACAAGTCGATCACCTCCTTCTTGAAGTGGGAACCATTATCCAAAATAATCTCATTCGAGACCCCGTAGTGACAACTGATGTTATTTATGATGAACTTAGTAACATGTGATGCTTTCAACACCACGTAAGATTGGGCGTCAACCCACTTCGTGAAGTAGTCTATCGCTACCAAAATGTACTCATGCCCGTTGGATGCCTTTGGAGTGACAGCCCAATTACATCAATCCCCCGGACTGAAAATGGCTATGGCGAAGTCATGTTGTACAGCTTCGACGGCGGAATGTTCATGCGGTTTGCATGGATCTGACATTTGTGACATCACCGGACAAAGCCAATACAACCCTCCTCCATGGTGGACCAGTAATAACCCTGTCTAAGGATCTTCCGGGCTAGCATCACCCCGTTCATGTGCACTCTACACTCTCTTCCATGGATGGCCTCCATCAGGCACTTGGATTCTTCAGCATCAACACACAGTTTATGCATCCTGAGATGACCCCTCTTGTACAGTTTACCCCGCAGACGATGAACTGAGCAGCCATTCTTCGAATTGCCCTCTTATCTTTGGCATTTGCCCTTGTTGGATATGCCTCTTTTTCCAAGAAGTTCCAGACATCGTAATACCAGGGATTCTCATCTTGTACCTCATCTATGGTAGCAATCAGCTCGTAGGCCGGCACGAATTTCTGTTCGATAATGATCAGACGCATCCGGACTCTGAAAGGGATGTCTATCATAGAAGATAGAGTTGCTAATGAATCAACGAACTTGTTGTTCTCTCTTAATAGATGGGCGAAATTCAGCTTCTCAAACCGAGGAATTAGCACGTCCAAGGTCTGGTGATAGATTCTCATCTTTTCTTCTTTAACTTTCCAATCTTCTTTAACTTGAGATACAACAAGGTTCGAGTCCCTGATGACATCCAACCATTTTGCCCCTAGTTCTAGGGCGGCTTTTAATCCAGCAATACATGCCTTATAGTCTACCTCATTATTCGATACTCTGAACCAGAGTTTGAATGCTAAGGGTATGCGGGAATTATCGGGTGCTATCAGCAACACCCCTATCCCATACCCATATTGGTTTGACGCTCCGTCAAAGTACATTGTCCAAGTCTCTCCTTCGACATGCAGAATGGCCTCATCTGAGAACAGATACTCAACTGCTTCATCCCCTTCAACTGGGTGATCGGCTAGAACTACGCTACCACTCTCCCTTTTACTGACTTGCGCGTCATGTACTTCAGATCAAATTCGGAAAGCAGAAGCAACCAACAGGCTAGCCTACCCGTAAGTGCCGATTTCTCGAAGAGATATTTGATGGGATCTAATCTCGAAACCAGTATTACAGAGTGAGCTAACAGGTAGTGCCGCAGCTTCCTGGTAGCCCATACCAAGGCTAGACAAGCCTTCTCTAGCAGAGTGTAGCGGGTCTCGTAATCCAACATTTTCTTGCTCAGGTAGTAGATAGCTCTCTTCACTTTGTCCTCAGACTCCTGTGCAAGCATGCAACCTATTGTAGTTTCAGTCACTGAAAGGTACAGAATCAACGGTTTCCCCGGCTCAGGCGGTGGCAACACAGGTGGGTTCTGTAAATATTGCTTGATCTGCTCAAAAGTAGCTTGGCATCGGCCGTCCCATTGGAACTTCTTTCCTTTCTTTAGGAGACCAAAGAGTGGTTCACAAGTAAAGGTTAATTTTGCAATAAACCGTCTTATGAATT